TTCTTTTTTTCAGTTTTTTCTTTCCAATTAAGATACAATGTTATTTTCGCCTTTCTCTCTCTCTCTCTCTCTTTCTTTTCTTTCTTTCTTTTTTTCTTTTTCTTTCTTTCTTATTTCTGGTTTTCTTTTCCGCCTCTAATTAAAATATAATTCTTTCCTTTTTTTTCTTTTCTTACTTTAGATTTCCAATCTTCTGTTTCGTTTCACTCTCCTCTCTTTTTTTGTATCGTTCTTATTTCGTTTCCTCGAATTAAAGCCTTTTCTTCCTTTCCAATTCATTCTCATAAAAAATATTTGCTCCTTTTCTATCTTCTTCCTTTTCCCAATCCTCTCTTGAAATCCCAACATGCAAATTAAAATTTGGAGACGCCAAAATCAAACGAGTACAAAAATTTAAATATCTAGGAATTGCTTTAACAAGTAATGCGAAATCCAACACCGAAATCCAATGGCGCATTGGGATAAGGAAAGATGCCTTCAAAAGCTAAGCAAAGTATTAAGAAACAGAACAAAATATGGGAATCAGTGATAAGGATTACCAGCGAAAAGCTATAATAACAACAAAAATTGCAATATGAGCTCTGGTAAAAAAAATATGATAACAGCAATAATTGCTATATGAGCACTGGTAAAATGTTTAGGTTTATAATACCCAGAAATACATACACAAATGTCCAGTGGGACAGTGGATAAAGACGTTAGTTAGATCCAATGACAGGACCCAAAGAATGTGAGTTCAATATCTGGTTAAAAATATGCGGTGGAGAACGTGGAGGGGAATTAACAGGAGATAACTGGAATAACTGACATCCATTAGACATGGACACGTGGAATTAGAACAATAATGTCTACCCAGTGAACGAAAAGGTTCAGTTCGACATTCCAACCACTTGAAGATACTGAAAGCTGGATCCGAATAACGGCCGAAACGTTTGAAAGGCGAAACCTTTGTAATAAATATGGCAAATATAATAATGTAAATAGTGACAAAGATGAGGACAAATAATGTACCATAACACCTCATCTCAGATATATAGACAGATACTGAAAGGCCGAAACGTTGTAAATAAATATGGCAACAAAGATGAAGACAATAGAGTGTCCATAATCTCAGAATAGTACATGTACACAAAGATGAGGACACCTCATCTCATCTCAGAAATAGAAATATGGACAGATACTGAAATAGGCCGAAACGTTGTAATAAATATGGCGACAAAGATGAGGACAATAGGGCCGAAACGTTGTGATAAATATGGCAATAGCCAATAGTCCCGAATAATGTAAATGTCATCTCAGAAGTATAGTAGATAATGAACCAGATAATGAAAGGGGCAATAGCCGAAACGTTGTCATAAATATGGCGAAAGGCAAAGATAAATATGGCGACAATAATCCGAATAATGTAAATAATGTACATAATACCTCATCTCAGAAATATAGACAGATACTGAAAGGCCGAAACGTTGTAATAAATATGGTGACAAAGACGAGGATGAAGACAATAGACAATCGTCGATAATGCCTCATCTCAGAAATATAGATAATGAAAGGCCAAATAATTAGTGTATAAATGTACATTATACCTCATCTCAGAAATATAGACAGATACTGAACAAAATTGTTAAAAATATGGCAAAAAAAGTACTTGACTGTTATGTAATATCGGTCCTCATATATGGCGGAAATGAATATTTGACAATCTCTTTACAGAGAAAATATAATATTGTGATTCATAAATATGGCGACAAAGATGAGGACAATAGTCCGAAAATGTAGCTAATTAACATTAATACAGAAAGGCCGAAATTGTCATAAATATGGCAGGAACGGTCATATACCATAATACCTCATTTCAAAAATATAGACAGATACTGAAAGGCCGAAACGTTGTCATAAATATGGATGACAAGATTTCTCAGAAATATAGACAGTCCGAAACCTAATAAATATGGCAATACATTTAACCAGCATCTCAAACGTTGTAAAAATATACAAAGACATTTGCAAATAGTGTACATTATAGTAAAAATCTGTTCAAAGAAAAATATCGGTCCTCATATATGAAAACAATCTACAAAACTTTTGCATCTTAATTAACATTAAGCAGATATGAAAGGGCATTATACACAATTCAGTTAAGTTTGATCATCTTAAAGAAAAATAATCACAAAACTTTGCATCTTATCCAGAAATTCATCTCCTCCTGGGTATGACGATAAACTTCATCCGGCATGACGAGGGCCTCCGGGATTGGAGGTTTTGAGGACCGTGGCTTTCCTTAATTGCCGTTGTCCCCAGGTCCACACAGACGCGGCCTAGTAGCATCTGTTAGGGTCCTAGTTATGGACAAATAGTGCCTACTCCCCTAAAAAATCTATGAAGTTATAAATGTACATTTTATAGTAAAATTGCCAGTAGTATATATATATATATATATATATATATATATATATATATATATATATATATATATAAATACATTTTATCTATAGTTGAAGGAATAAAAAGTGCGTTCAAATTATGTTTAATTGAAGCCATAAAATTTGTGTTCAAAATATTTAGATTTTTACATTAAGCCTTTGAGCCCTGACCACCGCTTTACCGGTGGTAGAGAAAAATGACGTAATGCTTAACCACCGGTTGAACGGTGGTAGAGAAAAATGACGTAATGCTCAGATGACTTAATGCCCGCCACCGGTTGACCGGTGGGTAAACACTTGTGATTATTTTAATATCTACTGTAAAACATTACATACCAATTATTTGCGAAATTTGACTCAGGAGCTCAGGCAAAAAGGTTGAAATTGTTCAGGAACGCAGGGATCAAAGCGTTAAATATACTTGTGAACCTTGCGAAAGATCTGGAAGAATTGGTAATTCAATGGAGAATCTTATCTTAATTATCATATGAAAGTCCTTTGTTGGGCGTAGATCTTATCTGGATCTTTCCCTTTGCCGTTTCTGGGATCACAGACGTGATCTAGTAGCACCTATTAGGGCCCTAGTTATGGGCAAATAGTGCCTCCTCCCCCACCAAAAAAAAAACTATGAAGTTATAAAGATAAATTTTTATAGTAAAATTGCAAGCAGTAGATATATATATATATATATATAAATACATTTTATCTATAGTTGAAGGCATAAAAGTGCGTTCAAATTATGTTTAATTGAAGCCATAAAATTTGTGTTCAAAATATTTAGATTTTTGCATTAAGCCTTTGTGCCCTGACCACCGATTTACCGGTGGTAGAGAAAAATGACGTATTGCACAGCCACCGGTTGAACGGTGGGTAAACATTTGTAACTATTTTTATATCTATCGTGAAACATTACATACCTATTATTTGTGGATTCTAACTCAGGAGCTCAGGCAGAAGTATTGAAATTGTTCAGGAACGTCAGGATCAAAAGGTTAAATATACTGGTGAACCTTCCGAAAGATCTGGAAGAATTGGTAATTCAATGAAGAATCTTATGTTAATTATCATATGAAAGTCCTTTGTTGGACGTAGACCTTATCCAGATCTTTCCCTTTGACGTTCCTAGGGAAGAATGGGCCATTATCCCAACCGCTGGTCCAATGAATGATGGCAGGGGCTTACAGTACATACTATTCTCAAGTGATCACCCATCTAGGTACTGACCAAGCTCAATGTTGCTTAACCCTTTGAGCCCTGACCACCGCTTTACCGGTGGTAGAGACAAATGACGTAATGCCCAGCCACCGGTTGAACAGAGGTAGAAAAAAATGACTTAATGCCCATCCACGGGTTGAACAGTGGTAGAGAAAAATGACTTAATGCCCAGCCACCGGTTGAAAAGAGGTAGAGAAAAAATAACTTAATGCCCTGCCACCGGTTGAAAAGAGGTAGAAAAAATTACTTAATGGCCAGCCACCGGTTGAACAGTGGTAGAGAAAAATTACTTAATGGCCACCCACCGGTTGAACAGTGGTAAAGAAAATATTTTATGGCCTGCCACCGGTTGAACAGGAGGTCAGGCAGAAAAATAAGGACGAGTAACTAATGCCCTGCCACCGGTTTAAAAAGCCGAAATAAAAAACCAAACCAATGTCCAGTCACTTTGTTGAACAGAGGTAGAGAAAAATGATCTTAATGCCCAACTGCCGGTTTAACGGTGGGTAAACAAATTATTTATTTTTATATCTACCCTGAAAAAATTAAAATCATAAACCAATTATTTATGTGTAAAATTTTGTTCAGGAGCTCAGGCAAAACATCTGAATTGGGTTAAAATTGTACAAACGATTTATTTGACTCAAAGTGGGTTAAAATAATCCATTTCGATTTTAATATGCAGTCTAAATAAAATCAAATCAACCAAACACTATAAATGTGTAAAATATACGTTTGTTCTGAAAGCATAAAATTTTTGTACAAAACATCTGTAATTGAAGGCTTACAACTGCGTTTAAAATATATTTATTTGAAGCTATAAAGTTGTGTTCAAATTATTTAGATTTCGGCATTAAATAACCGATGCAGTCTGATATACCGCTAAATAAAATCAACCAAACCACACTATAAATGTGTAAAATATACGTTTGTTCTGAAAGCATAAAAATTTTGTACAAAACATCTGTAATTGAAGGCTTACAACTGCGTTTAAAATATATTTATTTGAAGCTATAAAGTTGTGTTCAAATTATTTA